GCCACAGAGTCCCCCACCAGGTCCACATCCTCCTGGCCACCATGTACCTCTTGGTGCCACCCATGCTCAACCCCATCGTGTACGGGGTGAAAACGAAGCCAATCCGAAGCAGGGTGGCCAGGGTCTTCTACGGGAGGGTGGCTTGAGTCTGGGGGGGAATGATCCGGGAGGGTGGGCTGCCCCCAGCAGCCTTTGCAGCATCGGAAAGGCCGTCCCTGAACCACGCTGGCGTAAGACGACTCTGTGCCCCCACCCACAGCATCCGGAAAAGGCAGAGGCACTTTCTCAGTCTTGGTGTCCTGGGGAAAGCAGAGTTTCTTGGTTAGGATGGTTCTGACATGGTGGTTTTCCCACCAAAGGACTGCATGACCTGCAACATGGAGGAGAAGAGAGTTCAGAGCAGGGTCACCCTCCAAAAATGGGGGGGGGAGGGGGGATTCTGGTCCAGCTGGGCAAAGGAAGACTAGCTCCTAGAACTTCCATGAACCGTTGCAAAAGGATGACTTGTTCGTTGTTGTTGTTGTTTAGTCGTTTAGTCGTGTCCGCCTCTTCGTGGACCCCATGGACCAGAGCACGCCAGGCACTTCTATCCTCCACTGCCTCCCACAGTTTGATCAAACTCATGTTAGTAGCTTCGAGAACACTGTCCAACTGTCTCGTCCTCTGTTGTCCCCTTCTACTTGTGCTCTCCATCTTTCCCAACATCAGGGGTCTTTTCCAGGGAGTCTTCTCTTCTCATGAGGTGGCCAAAGTATTGGAGCCTCAGCTTCAGGATCTGTCCTTCCAGTGAGCACTCAGGGCTGATTTCCTTCAGAATGGATAGGTTTGATCTTCTTGCAGTCCATGGGACTCTCAAGAGTCTTCCCCAGCACCATAATTCAAAAGCATCAATTCTTCAGCCATCAGCCTTCTTTATGGTCCAGCTCTCACTTCCATACATCACTACTGGACGACTTATTCACTTCCCATTAAATAAGGATTCTGAAAGGCTGACGCACCACCAGAGCTTTGCTCTCCAGACTGAGCCCTTTGGCCTCGCGTGGGTCACAGCAGGATGTGGCCTGAGGAGGGCGTCCCTTCTGGAAGAGCTCCTCCAGGTTGCACTTCCAGGCATGGAATTCTAGAGTCAGAATTGTAGAGCTGGAAAGGGACCCCGAGGGTCATCTAGTCCAGCCCCCTGCAACGCAGGAAGTCACGGGTGAAGAATCCCTTACAGGTGGCCATTCCAACTTCTGCTTAAAAAGCCTCCAAGGAAGGGAGAGTCCACCACCGTCCCAGAGAGACTGGCCATCAGAAAGTTCTTCCTGATGTTTAGTCCGAATCTCCTTCCTACCCTCCCATCTGGAGCAGCAGAAGACAAGCTTGTCCCTCTGGCAGCCCTTGAGATATTGGAAGATGGCTCTCCTCTCAGTCTCCTCTTCCCCAGGCCAAACATACCCAACTACCTCAACCGTTCCTCATCAGGCTTGGTCTCCAGACCCTGGTCCTCCTGGCTGCCCCCCTCTGCTGCCCTTCCAGCTGCTCAGTACCCTTCTTGAACTAGACAAAGGTCTCTTGATCTCAAAAGGATATTAGATTAATTAAGGAGGAGGAACTGTAATGGCTGACTAGGACATGTGTTCGAATCCCACTCGCCATGAAGGTACTGGTGCCTTGGAGTTCAGCCCCCCTCCCTTGCAGGGTCGTTGTGAGGAGGAAATAGGAGAGAAAACCATGTAAGACCGGTTCCTAGGAATGACTCGGATCACCCCGGGGGTCGGCGGAAAGCAAGAAAGTGAGCCCCCCAAAAGCTCAAAAGGTTTCTTGAGCCCCAAAAGCATCCAGCAATGGTGGGTAGTAATGTTTATCAATTGACAGCATTTGCAGATGCCCTTGTAATAACTGTGAAGACCCTAGGGAAGGTATTGGCAACCTAAGACCCATGGGCCACAAGCGCCCACAAGGGTTTTTAACCATTCCACAAGCCGCCCCGGAACCGAGCCACCCACTTGGCGAGTCCCACACGCTGTGCTAAAGCGGCGCAGTGTGGCGGGGACTTGCTTCCTCGCACGGAAATCGTGTCTGCGCCCACGGAGGGACTCTGCTGGATTGAACCGCCCAGGAAGGTTAATCTTGCTGACCCCTGCCCTGGGGTTAGTACACTGAGGGTCTTAAATTAGATTTATGAGTCTGCGCAAATAGCAGGTTTCAAATTGAACAAGGGTAAAATGAATATGTTGGTGAAAAATATGCTGGAACAACATAAAAACGAATTAAACCAATTATGGAACTGACAATAAATAAAAAGGTCAAATATTTAGGGTTTCATTAACAAAATCTATAAATCTCTTTAAGGATAACTATACAACTACCTAGAGAGAAATAAAGACAAACTTAGAGTTTGGGGAATGATATCTGTGATAAAAATGAATGTAGTGCCGAGAATTTTATTTTTATTCCAAACAATTTCAGTGGTTAGTAGAACAGGACATTTCAAAGAATGGCAGAAAGATATTTCAGATTTATCTGGGAAGGGGAGAGCCAAGAATGAAATGTAAGATGTTAATAGATTCAAAGACAGAGGTGGCTTCTCCCTACCAGGTTTAAAGTTGTATTATGAGGCATCCAGTATTTGCTGGCTACAGGAGTGGAATATTTTTTAAAAACCAACCCCAGATCTTTTAGCTATGGAAGGACATGATGAGATTTGGTTGGCATGCATATCTATTGTATGAGAAAGTGAAGGTACACAGAGGATTCCTGAAACACGTGGTAAGAAAGTCAATTAAATGAGGTATGGAGATATATAAAACTTTTTTAGAAGAGGAAAACTGCCGTGGTGGATCTCCCTGCTAGAAGTGATACCATGAAGAAACTAAATATGAGAAAGAATTGGGTAACTTATAGGGAGTTATTAATGGAAGTGGAACAGCAATAACAGTTTAAAAAGTTCGAAGATATAAGAGACCTTCTAACAGATTGGTTACAGTATCACCAGTTAAATGAGGTTTTTGAAATAGATAAGAGAAAGGGTTTTGCAAATGAAATATTGAGGTTTGAGAAGGAATTGTTGGAAAACAACGTAAAACTACTTTCACAATATTTTTTTTTAAAAAAATTAATGCCATTTTGCTGAATAAAAAAATCCTATTAATACTGCCTTACTGGTGTCCCAAACTATTTTGCTGTTCATTCCTTTATTTAGGTTGAGTTCAAAAAATTATTTTAGCGTCAGTTTGGCCTTTTGCCGGATCTTATCACCGATTAATAGATTCTCATTTAGTCTCCATCTCATTGGTAGTTTTCCCTCTTTCTTTAACCAAACTGAGACTGCATTATGATCCAAAATAGTTTTAGGTTTTATTTCAGCTTTGCTAACTCTCAGTGTTAATTCCTTAGTTATCCAAATGGCATTTATCCTTCCCGCTGAGTTATTGGGTCTGAAATATGGGTATATTCTCTTTTAGTTGGGTGTTTTGTTCTCCATGCATTGTAAATGTTTAAAGTTTCTGTCATTCAAAAGAAGAGAAGTAGTTTTGATTGTTTGTTTTCTGTTTTTCTCTTTGTTCTATCCAACTCTGGGACAGGCACTCCATTTAAATCACCTAGGAGAACTATCCTTTCTCCCACATATTCTGCTGTTGTTTCCTCAAGTAATTGGGGAAATTCACTTTTTTAAAATTTGGGGCGTAGATACCAATAATTATGAATTTTTCTCCTTGGGCCAAAATCTCGATAATGACTATCCTTCCTTCTGGATCTTTAAATAACAGCATGAGCTGTGGTTTAGCATAAATCACTATGCCCCCTTTTTTGTTTTTTATCTGAGAAAACAAATTCTAGACCTAGTTTCTTATTAGAGAGAACTCTCCTGTGCTTTTGTATGACATGAGTTTCTTGCAAACATATCATATCTAGTTTTTGCTTATTTAAAGCATGCTCCATCTTAATTCTTTTTGCCTTGTCATTTAGTCCATTCACATTCCATATTAGAATTTTTAAATCCATTGGGAGCTCGAAGGCTGTTCGTCCAGAGGCAAGCAGCAGCCATCCGGAAGTCCCATAACTCCATGTAAATTAGCAAAATGTATGGAACAGGTTTTAACATTTGCTAGAAATGTAAAGAGAAAGAAGGCAACTTTTATCATATGTAGTGGAATTGTAAAATAATGAAAGAGTTCTGGGAAATGATATATAATGAACTAAAAAACAGTTTAAAATGGCATGTGTTAAAAACCCAGAATCTTTATTATTAGGAATTATAGGTGCAGAAAAACCGAAGGTGCAGAAAAAACATTTTATGTATGCAATGAAAGCCATGTGAATGATTGTGGCCCAGAGATGGTAATATGATAAAGTCCCTACAAGAGAGGAATGACAAACTAAATGGATGGACTATGCTGAGATACAAGAATGACTGGGAAAATCTGAAACCACGAAGACCAAGACTTCATTAAAGAATGGGGGAAATTCACATTGTATTTGGAAAAACACTGTAAGCAATTGAAATCTTTACAAGGACTTAAATAACACTGGTAATGTAACAAGGACTTGAGATACTATGGAAAAATGAAATAATACAGAAAGATAAAATATGCAGAAGAAAAGGATAAATATGTAACCCAGGGAGGGGTGGTGGGAAGTCCAAGAGTTCAAGAGAATCCTGTATTTCTTCTTATTTCTATTTGATTGTCTATGTAAACATTTAATTGAAAATCCAATTAAAAAAATTATTATATGAAGGATGTCAGTTGATCCCTGCTAATATATGCATCCAACCCTGTAGTAAAAACCATTCATCTAACCCATGTGTTATTCTTCTATTACCAATGTTAACAAGTATTCTTCATGAATTGTGGGCTCTTTTTCTCCAATAGGCACTAATCAATTTCTCTCTTCATTGCAGATGAACTGGAAATCAAGAACAAGGGTGACCAGGACATAATCCCCACAATGGAGAAGCCTTATAAATATCTTGAAAGTGGAAAAAGTTTCCATTCCACTTCAGATCAAAGAAATCCCACTGGGAAGAAACCCTATCAGTGCATGGAATGTGGAAAGAGCTTCAATCATAGCTCCCATCTCACTTCCCATCAAATAATTCATACAGGGGAGAAACCCTATCAGTGTATGGAATGTGGAAAGAGCTTCAGTAGCAGGTCCTCTCTGAGTTCCCATCAGAGAATTCATACAGGAGAGAAACCCTATAAATGTGCGGAATGTGGAAAGAGCTTTCGTAAGAGCCACCATCTCACTTCTCATCAAAGAATCCATACAGGGGAAAAACCCTATCAGTGTGTGGAATGTGGAAAGAGCTTCAGTATGAGCTCGAATCTCACTTCCCATCAAATAATTCATACAGGGGAGAAACCATATCAGTGCGTAGACTGTGGGAAGAGCTTCAGTCACAACTCGTCTTTCACTTCCCATCAAAGAATTCATACAGGGGAGAAACCCTATCAGTGTGTGGAATGTGGAAAGAACTTCAGAAGGAGCTCCCACCTCACTGACCATCAAAGAATTCATACAGGGGAGAAACCCTTTCAGTGCATGGAATGTGGAAAGAGATTCTGTTGGAGGACCGATCTCAGTTCCCATCAAAGAATCCATACAGGGGATAAACCATACAATTGCTTGGAATGTGGAAAGAGCTTCAGTCACAATTCCTCTCTTACTTCCCATCAAAGAATTCATAGGGGGAAGAAACCCTATCAGTGCGTGGAATGTGGAAAGAGATTCTGTCGGAGCACCGATCTCACTTTACATCAAAGAATTCATACAGGGGAGAAACCCTATCAGTGCGTGGAATGTGGAAAGAGATTCTGTCGGAGCACCGATCTCACTTTACATCAAAGAATTCATACAGGGGAGAAACCCTATCAGTGTGTGGAATGTGGAAAAAACTTCAGTACAAGCTCCAATCTCACTTCCCATCAAAGAATTCATACAGGGGAGAAACCCTATCAGTGTGCGGAATGTGGAAAGAGCTTTAGTACAAACTCCGATCTCACTAAGCATCAGAGAATTCATACAGGGGATAAACCATACACTTGCTTGGAATGTGGAAAGAGCTTCAGTCACAACTCCTCTCTCACTTCCCATCAAAGAATTCATACAGGGGAGAAACCATATAATTGCTTGGAATGTGGAAAAAGCTTCAGTAAGAGCTCCAATCTCATGACCCATCAGAGAATTCACAGAGGGGATAAACCCTATCAGTGCGTGGAATGTGGAAAGAGCTTCATTACAAGCTTCTGTCTCACTTCCCATCAAAGAATTCATACAGGCGAGAAACCCTATCAGTGCGTGGAATGCGGAAAGAGCTTTCAGCTGTAGCTCTGCTCTCAGTTGCCATCAGAGAATTCATACAGGGGAGAAACCCTATCAGTGTGTGGAATGTGGAAAGAGCTTCAGGAAGAGCTCTGACCTCACTTCCCATCAAAGAATTCATACAGGGGAGAAACCCTATAATTGTGTGGAATGTGGAAGGAACTTCAGTACGAGCTCCTATCTCGCTAAGCATCAGAGAATTCACAGAGGGGCAAAATCCTAGCAGTGCATGGAATGTGGAAATGCCTCAGTCACAGCCACAATGTCACTTCCCATCAAAGAATTCATATGGAGAAACCATACAATTGCTTCAGCTATAGCTCCTCTCTCAGTTCTCATGAAAGGATTCATGCAAAAGGGCAGATAAAAACATCCATGATACAGCTTTAGGCTTCATGGAAAAAAACAACACCTCTTTACCCAAGCCTTTGGCTGATTGACATCAAATGGCCTTTTAAAATGTGTGTTGGGGGGGTTACGGTTTTTTTAATTTTTTGTTTTGTTTTTTATATTATGATTTAATTTTGAAACTGCCCTGAGGGTATAGGGCATAGGAGGCAACACTTAAAGGCTGAGAGGTCTTTGTTTCTGCCCAAAATATTTGAGGGCCCCCCCCCAGTTGATAGGCATTGTCATTCAAATGGTGTGCATACACCACACCATGTGATTGATTATGCAAGGCGGGACTTACCTCTCCCCCAGTATTTTATTCAAGTTGGCACCCCTGGTATAAGATGGTATAGAAATTAAATAAATGCAATAATAAAATAATATCATCTTGGTCGTCTTCCTTTGCACATGTTCCAGCTTGTCAGTATCCTTCTTATTTATTACTATTTTTAAAATTGATGTGTCCTTCATCTGAAGATTTCACGATATAAACATACAGGATGAAAGCATGGCTTTCCCAAAAACAAGTCAAGCCAGAGAAATCTCTCCTCCCCTTTTTTTGGATAGAGTTACAAACTTTGTTGATCAGGGGAAAGCTGTGGAAATAGTGCATCTTGATTTCAGTAAAGCTTTGAATAAGGTTGAATAAGCCAATGTTTATTCAATACATAAATTGCTAATAATCCACCCAGCACTCATGGGAAAAGGTGGTGTAATATTTTAGAATAATTAAATGAAATTGTAACACATGGCAAGAATAAAGTGTGTAATTTCATCAGGACAAGTGATTTGTTGTTTAATGTTGTAACTATCTTCTGTACCATGAAAATAAATAAAAACAACTTTTTCAAAAAAGGAGGTGGAGAGCCATTAATCTGCTTGCATGTGTTGAGTGTTATTTGGACACTGTAAAAAGGTAAAGGTACCCCTGCCCGTACGGGCCAGTCGTGTCCGTCTCTAGGGTTGTGCGCCCATCTCACTTAAGAGGCCAGGGGCCAGCGCTGTCCGGAGACACTTCCGGGTCACGTGGCCAGCGTGACGAAGCTGCTCTGGCGAGCCAGCACCAGCGCAGCACACAGAAACGCAGTTTACCTTCCCGCTCTAAACGCGGTACCTATTTATCTACTTGCACTTAGGGGTGCTTTCGAACTGCTAGGTGGGCAGGAAGCTGGGACCGAAAGATGGGAGCTCACCCCACCGCACGGATTCGAATCGGCCGGCCATACGATCAGCAAGTCCTAGGCACGGAGGTTTTACCCACAGCGCCACCCGCGTCCCTATTTGGACACTGTAACACCCAGTAATTTCACATTATCTATGTGTTTCTGTGTGTTGAACACACATAATTGCAGGTGAGACTGAATAAAACACCTCCTAGGAAATTCCCCTTTACTGCTCTGTATTGTTTCAAATGTGGACTTCATTTACAGACAAGAACAAATCATATTTATTGATGAAAAATCATACCATCATCAGCTCAATAATCTCAACCCCAACAAACCTGTAGGTAGAAATGACGATAATGAACAGGAAGATGGGAGATGAGAGCTGGAGGCCGCCAAGGCAAGGACAGGCTGCCACAGTCAGATAGCCTTGGAAGCGTTGTCCACAGATGGTGAGGAAGAGCCAGTCCAAGCTCTCGGTCCTTGATCTCAGTGTTGGGAACACCTCAAAGAAGAGCGGAAGGGGAAGGGTAAATATAAGAGATTCTGGCGTTGCCTTCTCAAAATTTATCTTCTGTACCATGACAATAAATAAAAACACTGTTGTCCACAGACGGTGAGGGAAGAGCCCTTAGTCCTGCTCCTGAAAGCTTGGCAGATGTGGAGTATTTCCTCACACATTGCCATGACTGAAAAAACAATCTTAAAAAATTAAAATGGTATTACAGTGCTAAGAACGCAATTCCTGTATTATTTGGCATCTTAGCAAGCCCAGTGCCACTCTGCCAACTGTCTCACTCCCAGCTACCTAATCTGGAAAGCTGCCCTGTCATCTCTGCAAAGGACTTCAGTGTCCCTTGAATTAGCAGTTCAGCATTTCTGGAAAGGGAATGATATACCTTTGTATATTAGCATAAAAAACATGCATGAGAAAGTATTACTCATTTATGATGGGAATATGATTTAATCGGCTGTGCTGAGGACTGCAGGGCCTGCTCCCTTCCAAGGCTTTTTCCAACTGGCCTAGAGGGCAGGACCCAGGCCCTCACCCTCCCAGACTCCTGCTGCAGTGCCTAGAGGGTGGGGCTGGATTCATTGGAACAAACTCTTTGGGAATTGCAGGCGGGGGGGGGGGGTCTTCTACTATTGCTTCACTGTTTCAAGTGTCTAATGTGTTTTTAAAATGTTCTTAAGCAGTCTGTGGCATTTTTAGTTTTTTATTCTCCCCCCCCCCCCTTTGCTTTGTTGAGGATGGGATGGACATCTAGTTGGGGGTTAATTTAAGTATAATTGTTGTTGCTGTTTTGTTTTTGCTTTTTATTGTTTTATTAGCTGTTGTATAGTTTGTGTTTTGTTTTAAGGTCTTCCTGGGAGTGGGCCCCAGCCAACAGAATGGCTGGGGCAGTTTCCACGGGGGTGGGGGGTGCACTGGCTCATCCGATCTCAGTGACCACGGTAGGAGGAGGAGTTACGCTAAGGCCAGACCGCGTCATTACCAAGGAAGCAGATTTAGTTGCTGTTTGAGGACTATCCCTGCCTCTGGGTCTGGTCTTGAGATGTATCCTGGAATCAGCAAGGGAGACCCACATCTTAAAGTGTTGCTGTGCAATGCCAGGTCAATGACTCACAAGACGGCTGTCATCCATGACTTAATTGTGGATGGAGGACTTGACCTGGCATGTGTGACAGAGACTTGGTTGGATGAAGCAGATGGGCCTGTCCTTGCCGCTGCTTTTCCACCAGGTTTCTCTTACGCACAGCAACCCAGGCCTTGTGGGCGGGAGGGGGGGTTGCAGTGATTTTTAGGAAGTCATTAGTTTGCACCAGGCGTCCTATTGGGAAGACCCAGTTCTCTGAGTGCATGTTCTGGAAGTTGGGCAATAGGGGCAGTACAGGATTCCTTTTGGTGTACCGACCTCCCCGCTGCACCAAGGATTCCCTGCCCGAGCTGCTTCAGGTCGTGGCGGATGTTCTCCTGGAGACACCTAGCTTGGTCGTCCTAGGGGATTTTAACATCCATGCCGACATGACCTTACAAGGGGCGGCTTGGGACTTCGTGGAAAGCATGGCCTCCATGGGGCTGTGCCTGAATAAGTTTGGCCCAAATCATAGTCACGGACATGCCTTAGACCAAGTGTTCACCTCTGTGGATGTGGGTGATGTGATGCTAAGTAAAAGTGAGACAAATGAAGTGCCATGGTCAGATTTTGCTAATTAACAGGCTGAAAGGAAAATGCCACGCTTTTGCATGAGAAGAACAAAGGAATGTTTATTGTCTTTGCTGGCCAGACAGACAGGCTTGGTGGATTCACATCCAAAAGGACTGAGAACCCTCCTGAAGAAGGGGCCTTCCTAATATACTTTTCCCTTATCTGTTAAGACTATACATATGCATGGAGTACCTTGCAATCATTTGGGATAACACCCTACTAGTGAATCCATATAAGGAATCTGGTTAATTGCATATTAATTAAGCAAGCAAACAAAGGACTCTCTGGGCACCTTCACGCAGCATGTGGGCCTCTTCTGTATTATGCATACACTCTGGTATGTGGTGAACAAGGAGTAAGTGTTGGGATACTGCCAGGGAGATAAAGTCCATCACGGCCCCAAGCCGTGTGCTGGACGATCCATCGATCTCTGGTAGGCACGCAGTATCATCGATTAGCGACATGAGTTTCTAGAAGTTATCTTGCCACATTC